GATCCTCATCTGAATTGTGGCACTTTGTGTCACCGTATGTTTATCGATTGGTGTGATGTCTGGTGGGGTTTAACGTCATCGTCATCAAATAACAAAATTATAAACGATGTAATTTTTTTTAACAGCCACACACTGGCATTCGTCGGGGGTTCCAATATAACATAACGGTTGAACTTGCGCCCGGATGGTTCTCATTCAAATGGTGTCACTTTGTGCATCTGTCCAAGCTGCAAGGAACATACAACCAACTGCACACAAATAAGCCAGTAAAACGGATGTGAACTCAAAACTCAGACTTCGGCACCAAGCCCAAATGGACGAACAATCAGGACTTTCTGCCGGAGCTTACAGCTGGTGAACAAAGAAAAATAAGCTCAGTGTTCGTGTCCTGAATTTGCTGTTTTAGTCAAGCTAGTTAGCTATTTAAACATTCATAAACTGGTAGTATTTGTTCCCCTGTGGGATACAATTTTTTTGTTAATTTGAAGCCCCACCCTGAGTTTAGTCGGGGGCCCTGGATATAAACGGGCCATAAATATGGCCAGCCATAGATATGGCCTAGCAGCTGAAAGGGGTTTCTGGGATCTCTCCACGTGTGATCCTCATCCGCATGGTGGCACTTTGAGTCACTGGGTGTTTATTGCTTGTGTGATGTCCTGGTGGGGTACAATTACCTACCTACATACCTTAACTGGTGACTACGGAAAACAGAGGCAGTTTAGTGGTGCGAGAGAATCACTAATGTAGAGCTTTGGGAAAGAACTGAACAAGTTCCAGTGGACCAAGAGGTGAAGAAAAGACGCTGGCGTTAGAACACACGTTGAGAAAACATGAAAACAACATAACTAGAGTGTCTTTGCACTGGAACTCACAGGGGCATAGAAATAAAGTAAGGCCAAAAAAACACACGGACAAGGGTGCTATAGAACGAAGTTAAAAAGATGAAGAGGACATGGGGCAAGCTGCATGATAGCGAAGGATAGAACAACTCGGCAGGAGTTGGTTGAGGGCTTATTCTCCACTGTGGGTTAGAAAGGCAGAAGAAGAAGACCCAGCTGTTTATCTGCCCACCTTCTTTCTGTCAGAGTCTATGACTCAGGCATAGTGAATACGCTTTTTAATTCCTATATACCCACTTCGATTCCAGTTGCGGGTGATTTGACAGCAGACAGCTTTGTGTTTTTTTACGACAGCGGTAGCGAGCACTGACCATTTAAAAACCAGTATCAAACTAATGGCCGGCTCATTACACTCAGAGGAAAGGCAAGGCGGACATATAACTAGATTGTGACCGGTACCATCAGTATTGGAAATCTGCATTGGCTACTTAAGATGAGAACGGAGCATGCATGGGAATGCCCCGAGTGCTGTGATGTCAGTTCTTGACTCAGCTCAACTGGCGAACTACTGAACATAAAATGCTTAGCAGACTCTCAAAACAGCCAAATATGAGGGATGTTAGTTCTGCAAGCGTTATTTAAAGGATACGCAACTAACTAATCTTTATCTCCTTATCATGTTTGACAGTTGGTACTTCTTCCCATAGCAACCACAAATTATTGTGGTATGCACGGGCTTAATATACCACAACACTACATGGAGGGGATTGTGGGGCGTGGAGTAGCATAATCAGACTTGTGAAAACAAGAAATCAATTGATACAAAAAGCAGATTTATGGCAGATTACTTAGAGATAAAGGCAGCATACACAAAAGAGTTTACTGGAAGCAGACCAAGAGGCAGACCAAGAAGACGGTGGAGAGAATATACGTACATGCAGACCTACAAACACTTGGAATTACCAACTGGAAAATAGAAGCCCCATCACAGAGACAACATTTGGGGGGGGGGGGGGGGGGGGGGGAGAAAAGTTGGGGGGGAGGGCTCATTTATCTACCCATGAATGAACCTCAAGGGCTTGAAATGCTAAAGAAGAACTAAAGAAGCAGGGAATAAAGTGAGAAACAGAAAACTAGAAAGTGGCAAAGTGACACCTTGGTTGCAAGATTACTAACAAGTACTTTTTTTTTTTTTTTTTTGGTAAACGAAATTTTTGAGAGAAATGATGATTGTTTCAAATAAATATGAACAAATGTCTTTGGTTATTTGTTGTTTTTTTTTTTCTGGTGGAATTGTGTGTGGAGGAATCGCTTTTACAATGGTTCTACACCATCTGTCTGTATGGGGGGCGGGGAGAGGGGGGGGTGTATGTGTGTGTGCACGCAAAGCACATACATACATGTGTTAGTGTATGTGCTCGCAAAGGTAAGTGTGTGTGTAGACAGAAAGAGAGCATGAAAAATAAAAATAAATGAGAGATGGGTAGATTGAGATGCAGATGTACCCTTGCCTTTATCACAGCTGACACAATACTGGCACTCAAAAGTAATCTTTGTCGCTTCTATTAACACAGATGTAAGTAAGTACAGGATTTGTTTCTATACATTGTTTCATCGGTATATGAAGCTTTGTAGATCAATCGGCTCTTAGTGGTGATGTGGTCAGCAATTGTGCTGGCCACTTTTACTTCCCAGGTGAAAACCTAGTACTTGAATTAGGCCCCTGGTACCCTTTTTGGTGCTTTCCCGATATCTTTCCCCAGGATGACGTCGCGGGGACAGTCCAATATTTCTGAGGGTGGTAAGACCGGGTTTCCCAGCTTTCTGATGCTTTTTAACTACCCCAAAAAAATCTAGAACTGCGCCTAACCCAAACCCACCTACATTCTACGAGAGAGTGCATCTAGGTCCCACGACTGCATGCAGCCAATGTCCCATAACTGCATGCAGCCTATCTGCCACCCCCTAAAATATTCGACTGTCGGTTTGGGGGGGGGGGGAATATTGGGATAGAACCCCCTCATTTCACTACATATAAACAATTTGGAAAAATATAGTCAGTCAAAAAAATTTCTACACAGTAATCGTCCGGCAGCACTTAAAGGTTTCTATGTGCGCAATATGTGCAGACTTTACGGTACATTACGGTAGCAATGTGTTGCGTGGAGTTTTTCAAATAACAACTTGTATAAAACATTTTTATACTACATTTATTCAGGCACGAAGAGAGGGATGCAAGTTATATGTGATGTATGAAGTTACTACGGGTGCTCGAAGTGATTCCCATTATTCTCCAGACGCTCTTCATAACCAGTATACAACACATAGCCTAAATAATTCGATCTAAATATGGCGGAATATGTCACCTAAAGATGACGTTTTTAAACAAGTAGCCTCTATAAGAATGTTTATGAATTTCACTGCTAGGGGATTACTGTGTATACATATTTTTTTGGCTAACAGATGATCGGACATGCTAATTTATCTTTTTTTTCACATTTACCAGCTCGGAGGTGCGTTAGCGCAGTCGATAGGAGGCTCGCTTTCAAATCCAGCTGCTTCTTGCTGCAGCCACGGTCGGTTTTCGAAACCGGGGCAGTTCCCAGGGTTCACCCAGCCTCTAGGAAATGGGTACCAGAGTTGACATTCTGGGGTAAATGGAGGAACGTCGCTGTAGCTACGGAGTTATGTGCGGATGGCGACACAGGCTGACAGTTTCTTATCAGCTGTCCGTACTGGTGGCAGAGCTCTTATGGTTTATAACTGTGTGCAATGACGCTGGTTCACATCTCCCAACTTTACCTTTTTATCTTTTTACATTTACCAGCAGTAAATGCCAGCTGAAAATTTCTGGTTTTTCATTCACTTCAGGAGCTTAGTCTTGTTCCATAACCTAAGTGCCACATGCAGAATGTTGGTCTTTACTGCTCAGACAGATGCACTCTGACCTCAAATGACTTCAAAGGAAGCCTGCAATTAGTCAACTTTTTTGACACGCTTGTTGGGGAGGCAGTGGGTCCATTCTTGTTTTCCACAAAATGAGGCCCCGGAACTCACATGAAGAATGCCAGTGTATGAGATTGAAGACTTTAACAACCAACCAAACAAGCAACTAACACATACAAACAATAATGTTGAATGTATTGACTTGTTTATTGAGCCAGGTGGCTAATGCATTCACCATGAACTGTGCAAGTTAGGATTTGTATGTATGCCCCCCGCACACGAAAAAAAACGAATTTCCATCAACTTACAAAAGAGTGGGGATGGGGTTGCTTGAATGAAAGTCAAGCTTTTGCCAGAATGAAAGCCAAGGTGTTGTTTGAATGAACTGCCAAGGGGTCACCTGAATCAACAGCCAAGGGATAACCTAAATGAACTGCCATTGGGTTAAATGAATGAACAGCCAATGGGTTTCATGAATAAACAGCCAATGGGTTGTCTGAATAAACAGCCAATGGGTTGTCTGAATGAAAAGTCAATGGGTTTCATGAATAAACAGCCAATGGGTTTCATGAATAAACAGCCAATGGGATGCCTGAATAAACAGCCAATGGGATGCCTGAATAAACAGCCAATGGGTTGCCTGAATAAACAGCCAATGGGTTTCATGAATAAACAGCCAATGGGTTTCATGAATAAACAGCCAATGGGTTTCATGAATAAACAGCCAATGGGTTGCCTGAATAAACAGCCAATGGGTTTCACGAATAAACAACCAATGGGTTGTCTGAATAAACAGCCAATGGTTTGTCTGAATAAACAGCCAATGGGTTGTCTGAATAAACAGCCAATGGGTTGCCTGAATAAACAGCCAGATTAAAAAGTGACAACTGCCTATGACTGGGAGAGAAAAATTTTGGGTAAAACGAGACCAGACCCACACCCCCTTCCCAGCACATCGTACAATGCAACTAAGTGGGAGGGTGTAGTAGGTTGCTGAAATTGGATGTATTGGTCCAAAAGGTGCAGATATCACAGCCTAACTGTAAACCACAACACAGTGTGCTAACTAAACTAGCCTTTCAAAGCTAAATACCGAAGAAGTTTTTTTTTTTTTAAATCAAATAACTTGTTCACAATAAATAGTTGACACTCAATTAATTATTAAACTGGACGTGACCAAAAATGAATTTCAAAGTATGAATATAACAGATAGCTTTAAGCAATTTTGATATACTGATTCTCATTGGCTGGGGCTGAAAAGTTACGTCTGACAAAAAATCCTCCATCACCGTAGACCTTTTTCTTGGCCAGCTTTTTCTTCTTTTTAATTTCGGTTGCTTTTTCAGGCTCTTCAATATTCTGGGGATAAATTAATAAAACACAAACATGATCAGCAACGCAATAAAAAGACTGTTTATATTTTTTTCACTAAAATGTGTAGACATTGCCAGCTAATGATTAAGTAACTCTGGATATATACTGTTAAAAATAATTTGCATAGTTACCCAATGGTGCTTGACTACTAAAAAAAAAACATAGTTATTGAAAGAAACATCTGGGAAGGCTAACCCGGTCAAAAAATGCCCGCAGAAGTCAGATGTGTTGGCCGAAAGGTGCAAATATCGCAGCCATGCTGTAAACAGACACAATGCAGTTACATCTTCGGATGAACGCAGAAGAAGAAGAAGAAGAAGAAGAAGAAGAAGAAGAAGAAAGGAACATAATTTTGTCACAATTTTGACATTCACAATTTGTGTAACTTGAATGAATGAAATTGTTCAAATTGCACATAAAAATACCGTTGGGTTCACCCAATCATTTGACAGTTCTTTTGCATCTGGGTCGTAATGTGTACAGGCTTTCCTAACAGCTAATAAAAAGTATGCTTTTTTTTTAAACAAGAAAACACCACTGGAGAGCCACCTTTTTTTTTTTAATTTAAACAGCAGATGAAGAGATTGCCTTTTGTCAAAGAATGTGCTAGAAGGAAAAATGGAGGGGATGTGTTCAGCAAAAAGACAACATCATTTGTGGGTGAACAACAGCAAGAGATGGATTCGAAGAAGCATGTATAAGTATAATGTAAAAATACAAAAATATAAGGAGCTGGAGAAACATCAGAACTGACTTTTAGTGTGAAGATGACACTTTATGATGATTATGATTGCATGTTACAGTCTTGGGTATAAGGAAAGCAGTAGAGATTGCAAAAGAGAAAAGAAAGGAAGGAATAAAAAATGGGGGAAAGGAAAGACAGAAACAGGAAGGAAGTAAGGAAGGATGAAAGTAAAGACAGATTACAGCAAGGAAGTGACAAATAATGAAAGGATAGAAAGAATACAGACAGGAAGAATGAAAGAACAAAAATATGACAGTAAGAAAGAAGGGATGGGTGAAAAGTGAAAAAAAAAAGAAGTCAGGGTGGATAAAAGAAAGGAAGAAATAAAGGATGAAAGGATGGGTGAATTTAAGATGAAAAGAAAGAAAGGAAGTAAGGGTGGAAGAGGCTAAAAAAAAGGTATAAAAGGAAGGATGAAAGGGAAGAAATAAAGGAATAAAAGGAAGTAAGGATGGAGCACAAAATGACGAATGAATGGAAGAAAAGAGAGAAGGGTGAAAAAACAAAGAAAAGATGGATGACAGGACTGAAAGAAACAAAAGATGGATGAAAGGAAAAAAACAAAGGATGTGTGAAAGGAAATTTAAAAAAAGGGTGAATGATAGAACAGAAAAAGATGACAAGATGGATGAAAGTTCTTACAAACAACATAACACCCTCTGCAACTCCAGCTTTCCATGACCTACCATGTCAGCCTGCATGTCCTCAATGACAGCATTCAGATGGCCAATCTCCCGCCTGTACTCGTCCAGTTGTGCCTCAAGTTTCTCTCTCTTCAGCTTCTCATAGTCCAGCTGAGCCTCCAGTTCATGTATGGTTCTGAGACAGAGTTAAGAATTCAACTTATTTTCCTAAAGGTCATGCAAGAATACGAGAAATGAGCTGACCTCTAACAATTGCACAGTGCTTTTACAGAAATGGAAGCTCTTATCTTTCTCTTCTCCTTCATAGCGTTCCCGGGCATCTTAGGAGGCATCTCACTGACAAGGTTGTGGCATTCTAGGATACCTGGGTATGGAATAGCTTTCAATTCGAGGGTTAAAGAAGGTCTTACCACACTCATAAGGATTACTGCACTTCTACGTAAAATAAAGAAACAATGAACAAAATGACTAGTGTACATACTAGTGAAGAAGAGGAAAGGTTAAGTAAGGCAATGAGGTAACCTCCACATTCTAATGTTGAAGCCTATTAATTTTTGATAAATATTTATATATTTACTCCCTTCTTCTTCTTCTTCTTCTTCTTCTTTTTCTTCTTCTTGTTTTTTTTCTTCTGCTTTTTAGCATTCATCAGCTGGTAACTCCGGAAAAAAAGTTCTGGTTGTTCGTGTACTTCTAGACAGTAGTTTTGTTGCAGAATTTCAGTTTTGTGTGCACATCCCTTTTACAGATATGGCTTATTTGTATGCAGACTGTCGGCTTCTCATCTCTCAGATAAATGCACTTTGACTTTGAAGGTAACACCCCTAATTAGCACACTTTTACAACACGCTTGTTGTGAAGGGGGTTAGGCGGGCAGTGAGTCTATTCATCTTACCGCCAAAATGAAGCTCTTGTGAAATGAATGGTAGGTTACAGTGCAACTATTCCTTCCTTTCAGTATTAGCACCTGCTAACATACAGGTGACTTTGTACAATAGACACTAAAATACTGACTTACTTAATGATCACATCATTGTCTGTTTAACCTCTTTAAAGGCCAGACACTTCTAATTTCTCACTGTGGTTATTTCCACCTTGGATGTCTGCACTGATGATGTCTAAACCGGAAAGAGTTTCCTCAAATGACGGCTTAATGTTATTATTAATGAAAGCAACAACAACAAAAACAATAGACAACATAAATATTTTGGACACAATAAAAGACATAACACTCTTTTAAAAACCATAATGGAAAGAAAGGCTGAGGACAAGACAGCGAGAGGTAGACTATGATTCAAATGGGAGGACAATGTCAAGAGATGGTCGAACAGTAGTCTGAGAGAGTATGCAAGAGACAGAACGTGTTGGAGATCAATTGCAACCAACCTTCATAGCAGAGATGAACCCCGATTGAATGATTGTTATGAATATTACAGAATATCAGATACAGCTGTAATTATTGCTTAGTTCATTAAATTTTAATTATTATTATCTCATGAAGTGTGAGGGTGGTGTAACAACATTGGCTTCCCCGTGTTGGGAAGTATGTCTAATGTTATGTGGATGCGAGGTAGTCCTGCGGTTAACAAAACAAAAACTTCGCTCCCTGTTTGGGTTCCAGTGTCTCATTGTTTGAGGGTGGGGGAGGGGGGGGGGGGGGGGGGGGGGGGTGGGGGGGACAGAAGCAATGCCCCCTAACAAGCATGTCATAAAAAGATGATAATTAAGATTATGTTGAAATATTTTGGTTAGAAATATGTTTTGATTAGAAAAGTGCAGATCTTGCAGCTTAGCTGTAAACTATAACATATCATACCAACCACCCTTTTAGAGAGAACTCATAACAAGAAGAAACATTATGACAACATAGAAATATAAAAATGTTGAACTGGGTCCAAAAGCAAAAGCCAACACTTTGTTAGAATACTAACAAACTTTAGACCAGTGGCTCTCAACCCTACTAATGCAGCGACCCTTTAATACAGTTCCCTCATGTTGTAGCGACCCCCAAAACAATTGTTTTACTTCATAACTTCAACAAATATGTGTTTTCTGATGGTCTTATGGGCCCCTATGAAAGGGTTGTTCAACCCAAAAAAGGTTCCTGACCATCAGGTGAGGACCGCTGCTTTAGACAATACACTCAACTACAATAACAAGGCTGAACAAGATAAGAAATTGTACCATAATTGTTAGTATGTTGCTGGCACCTTTCAGAACAGTAGTGTTTTTGAGATATAGGGAGACACCAGAATCACAGCCCCCGGGGAGTGTGTGTAATTATATGACCTGCTCAAAAAAAGTAAAGTCTAAGACTAAGAAGACTAAGTCTAAGAAAATACAAGACATCGTAATATAACATAAGACTGAACCTAGTTCCATAATATAAAGTGCTCAACAAGACAAAATGAGACATCGTAATATAACACAAGGCTGAACAAGATAAAACCTAATACCATAATATAAAGTGCTCAACAAGACAAGATAAGATATCGTAATATAACACAAGGCTGAACAAGATAAAACCTAGTACCATAATATAAGGTGCTCAACAAGATAAAACAAGAAACTAGACAGAGAACTCACTGATCTTTCTCTCTAAGTTCTTTGAGTCTCTTCCTGTCCTCCTCAACACATCCTCCCAGCTGAATGTAATTTTTCCTGGCCACATCTAACAGTCTCTGAAGTTCTTCCATCTTGACCTTGGCACGGCCTGATAACAAATGTAATGATCACACAACATCTTCTGCTATGCCCGCTTGCTATTTATATGTTTACATTTATCATATACTGAAAATTTAAGGCTCTTTTCTAAGGAAACAAGGTGCCGGTACTCACCACAAAGTGTCTAAAAAGGTACTAGTAGTCATCACAAATTGTCTATTACAGAAGACCTAAAAAAAAAATATGCCCTAAAAAAGGTGCAGGTACTGCATACTGTTGCACACCACCAGAATAAATAAAAAATGCCTGCTGTATAATATAAAGAAAGAAAATGCAGAAGTTTTGATGATTATAAGTGTTATAAGACTGCTTAAAAAACAATTAAGGAATATACAAATGAAACGTATCACCGGTGTGTGGCTAGATCCTAAGGGGAAGAGAAAGCATCCTCACTCCAGAGAGTGAATCTTCTATAGACGGAGTTAACGCTATACAAGAGACAGCACACACTGAAGAAGCCAAAAATAAAGATAACTGATTTTTCCTCTGAGACAGACCCCAAGATTAGACATACCAACAGGAGCAGTGTGGTGTGTGAAAACCATACAAGAGCTCACAGTCATTACATTTGCCAATGCAGAACAGGTGTCATCAGCATAAACATACTAGAAACTTGCTTAGGAGAAGATTAGAGCACTTACGGTATGCTGAAAAATGTAGGTAGATATAAATTCACGATTTAAGGTCCCTAGTTTATGACCACATTCCCTCCTTCAACACTGTGTCTCTCTCACAGAATCCATCATTCATTCATTCAGTAGCATGTCCCTCGCGGAACCTCGCTGCCATAACAACCCTCCGGAAAACCTTCCTATCCTGAGCAAGATGTCCTGCATCTGATACACCCATCTGGAGATCATCTGCCACATCCTGCACCCATCTTCTCCTTGGCCTTCCTCTTCCTCTCTTCCCAGGCATATACCCCTCCATTATTGTTCTCTCTAGACTTCCATGACGTTTGAAGTGACCAAAATATTTCAATTTTCTTTGTTTTATTGTCTTTACTAGCCAACCCTCTTCAATATTCAGCTCTTGAAGTATGGATGCATTTGTTCTTTTCTTTACCCAAGATATTCTTAGAACCTGTCTGTAACATTTATATTCAAATGCATTTATGCGCTGTTCCGCTTGTTTAGTAAGTGTCCAGGTCTCACAGGCGTATGTTGCAATGGGAAAGATGCATGCTCTTAAAAATCTGACCTTTGTAATTCTATCTGTACAATTCCATAATTTATTTAGTTGTTTTAGTCTTTGAAGAGCAATTGATAGTCGCCGTTTAATTTCTTTCATTGTGTCACCATTGTTGGTAACCAGTGACCCAAGATATTCGAAATTTTCCACCACTTCCAATCTTTCCTCATTAACATATCACTCATTTCAACCGGGGTGCTGAGTTCGATCCCAGCTGTGGGCCCTGCGCTGGTTTCAACAGTGGTATCGAGAAGCCGACCGTCCAGAAAGCAATGGCAAACTACTGGATGTAAACTTGCCTAGGAAAACCACAACAGCAAAAACATGCTGGGGTTGGTTTTGCAACGTCCTGTAAAGGATACACAACTAACTTTTATGAGTATTTCCTCTACCTCTTTTTAGATTTATACTGAGTTTGTATAACCAAAAAATCAACCTCTTTTAGTTTAGTACACCAGGTACTGCTTGAAGTGCTCTCAAGTCATTCAAAATTAAGATGAAATAAATTATGTCGATGATGAAGACGATGCTAAAGTTAACAACAACAAGACAGCAATGAAGATAACAATAAAGACAGTGAACAAAGAGGTGAAGAATACAGCAATTAAGAAGGGAAGAAATCAGTGATGAAGATGATGAAGAATGAAAAAGGAGGATTTAAAAAAAAAACAGAAGAAGAATTCTAAGACCACAAACACTGTGGTGTACTAATCAACACATTTCCAGATAAAAATGACTACAAAGGTCAAAGTAAGATCTTTCTTGCATTACTTCTGGCATTATCCTCTGACTTCTTTGATCGTCTGTTTCTTCGACTGCTTCCACGGCTCTCTTCCTCTTCACTTTCAGATTCAGACTCTGTTACTTCTGTGTCTTCTGAGGGAAAATTAATCATTTTAAAAAAAAGTCTGTTTTAAGAATCCAGCCACCACTATATGACAACAGACCGCTTTACAAGACCGGCAAAAATAAGGCTAGAAATATAACAGCTAGAAACAAAGGTATAACAACAGATAACATAACTTGACAAGATGAGACAAGACAAAATACAAGACAATAAAAAAAAGACAAAGCATGAAAGAAAAAGGGAGGGTGTGATAAAATGAAACAAGACAAAATAGAACAGATTACAAGGTAAGATAAGATTAGATTAGACAAAGCAAAAATTAAAAGGAGAAAAAAAAATAAACACGATGAGACAACACAAACAAAAGTAAAGATAATGCAAGATAAGAGAAGACAAAACAGTCTTCTTCAAGATAGCCATTTTGTCTAACCAATCATATTTAAGATACATAACATAAATGTACTGCTGTATGGGTATGGAAATGCAGGCTTTCACCAACAGTAGATCTTACCAGATTGAGTATGGGTGACTAGTGCATTTTCTTGATGCCTTTCTTCTCTATCATTTTCAAGAAATTCTACAAATTATTTGGGTTCCATTTTACAATGACTGGTTGATCTTATAGCCCTGCTGGTTCCAAAATGAATGCTTCTTCTGCTAGGGACTGAATCCAGATATATCAAGATATATCAATAGTACCCTGAGCTATAAAATTTGTCTTATTTTTGCTGAACGTTAGTCTAAATTCACAGCATGCATCAGTGAATGCAGATAGCAAACACTGAAGTGACTCCTTGGAGTGGGTGGTATTGCAGCATCCTCTGCAAAGCGCAGATCTCTGGTAAGTACCATAGTCTTAATTTTCAGTCTATGAGAATTGTAGAGGTTGTTGTCAGATCAAGAATGGATGGATATACCACACTCCTCATCTCAAAAGGCATACTCAGAAGGAGTGAGAAGAATATCCTGAAGAGGGTAGGAGCAAGTACACATCCTTGTCTCACTTCATTCTTGATTACAAACTTCTTAGATGTTACACCATCAAAACTGACTGTGCCTTTCGTACCTGTTTGGAATGACTCAGTGTTGCTGAGTAGGGTAGGTGGACACCCAATCTTCTCCAGCGTCTTGAACATAACTTCCTGACAAGCCAAATCAAATGCTTTGACTAAGTCTATTGTAGTGATAGGAAATAGAGGATTAAAGTTAGGATTTTGACTGGGTATTAGAATCAGGGAAACCCAACTTGCAAGACATGAAATCAGCATGAGAGAGTAAAACTTCGTGAATGTGTGATCTTTGGGGGAGCACGGGAGAACCAGGGAAATAATTAAATAGAGATGGACTCTGCAACAGGTCTCAGAGCTGGAATGTGTGAAAGCTGATCATCTGTATGGAAAGCTACACTGAATGAAGGCTGAGAGAAGGGCAATGCTGATGTGTTCCTACTGAGTGCTGATTGGGATCGTGCACATGTAAATCATGGAAGCTAAAGGTTTAGCCCTGTGATCTGAAGTGCAGACCAAGATGTGTGAAGTAAATGTCATGCTGTAGATTGTCGTTAGGCTGTTTGTTAGACCAGTGGACAGGCTTTCATAGCTTATGTGTTGTGATAATTAAACATTAAACTCTCATCAACTGGTGTCGACTGTTATGTGGAGAAGTTTGCAGGAGTTGACTGGAGAGAGCTTCTGTTCCATATATGCTGTGAAAAACAGACAATGACTAGATTTTTTACATTAAGAGAAACATTACATCTATGAATCTGTGTCGGTGAGGTTATGTTTGTCTATCTAAACCTGTGACTTTGAGTCTACATCTTTGAGTGTATCTTTAAGAATCAATGCTAATGTGTGAAATCTGATAGCTGACCCAATCCAAAAGCATATTTTTACACATCTCTTTCCCCACGTGATCTTTCACTATTATTGTCTGGGACATTGTATGTGCTGATACAGGGAGCTAACAACTTACCAGGTCCAGAGCCACTCAACAGTTTGACACAGGCCAACTGGGCAAATCTGCTAGCCACATCTCGAGCTGTCTCCCCAGCCTCGTTAGTGATGTATGTGTTGGCTCCCATCTCAATCAGCCACTGGAGAACATGGACATGACCTTGACCAGCAGCTGTGATTCAAACAAAAATGGATGCTGAACTTCAAAACAATGTTTCCGGGTGTGAGTTTAGGAAAATGATAACACAAACAATATACTGTACACATTATTGATGGGCAAATTTTGCAGGTGCATATCATACAATATATTTGTACACTTAATACTGCATAAAGATGGGCAATCTATTTTATGTTTAAAAAAAAGTACCATGTATTTAATCTACAACTTCCATGGTGAAATGAGAGAAGGATACAATGAAATTTGTGTTTTTCTTAGTGTGGGTTATGGGGCACCAACTGATCATTCCTACTTCCTCAAGTCCCTTCCTTTCTTCCCATCCACGAGTTTGTTTGCTTCCAATCACTCACTTGTTCATGAGAAAACACAAACTTACCTTCATACACACTTTCCTGCTAGTTCCATCCTCAACAGCCCCTTGACCCTTAACCCGTCACATTGTGGAACCCCTTATGACTCATAGAAGGATTTCCTACTGATTACACCTTGGCTGCTAGGTCGACCTAGCTTTAAGTGGGTACCAGGTACAGTCCTGGAAAGTAAAGGTGGCTGACATGATGCTGACCACATCACTCACCGAGTGCCAATTGGTGGATAAAATATAGGTCAAGCTCTTTATGCCCAATATACCTGAGGGCGTGGAAAAGGGTTCTTTACTTTTTTTTTTTTTTATAACATATACCGAGTGTTATAATTTTTATGTTGCCATTTGTCAATCCACATCAATTCTACTAGTGAAAGAACCACTGTCGACATAGACCAAATCATAGTGTATTTACCAATTTAAATGCACTTGTGAAGCTGGATACATGGGCCAAAGTGATCGATAGCTAGAGAAAAGAGTGGCTGAGTATATACCTGAATGGCTGGTAAAAACATTCTAAAATGAAAATAATTTAACAAACATAATTGAAGAAGCTATTACACAGATCAACACTTGTCCATTGTGTGCTGTATTTTGAACTTTAGACATGTTTTACTCATACCTTTATGAACAAGTGTAGAACCTTTGTCATCTCGTTCATTAATGTTCACCACACCGTTTTCTACCAGCGTCCTTAAATATTCCAGGTCACCATTGTATGCAGCCATATGAGCCGGGAAGGAGAGATCTGAAAAATCAAACAGAATGGATCTGAAAAAAATATGTTTCTTCTTCTGCATTATCTGAAGATATAATTGCACTGTGTCATTTTCAGCATGGCTGGATATTTGCGCCTTTCGGCCGACACATCCAACTTCTGCAGGTATTTTTTTACCGGGACAGCCTTACCGAGAAAATTTTTTTTACTACTTAAAAATTGTCAGATAGCAAGAAACACTCTGGAAGGCTAACCCAATCAACAAATGATTGGAAGAAGATGCACATTTTCTCCACACGTGTATCACAGCTCTGGTGTTAACAGACACTAAACAAATACTGCCCATCAAAAACAAACAAAAATATACTGGATGAATACAGAAAAACAGAAAGAAAATGCAACAAACACTCACTTTCTTCCTTTTCTGGGTGATCTTCTTCATACTCTATGTGTGAAATGTATTCTAAGATGTTGTCTTTGTAAAACCTTTGTGCCAGGTCTTTCGGTGTTTCACCATGATCATTTCGTGAGCTGAGAGGACAGTTTTAGCATTTCCATTGTGGCATACTAAGAATTTCAGGCAGGGGAGGTGACCCTCGGATGCTGCCAAATGTGCTGAAAAATATAAATGCATTTTTTTGCAAAGGGTTAAAGGTAAAAACTGGATTAAAAGAAGTAGGTACTATTTTACACTACTTTTGGTCAGTATGGTAGATATGTGTTTGTACAGTTCTGAGTTATGGTTTTGCTTCTGACAGAGTTGGCTGTTGTATTTTCCGCCACATGTAGACTAAAAGCATATAGTTGCATCGCCCTGCTACTCAGCTGAGTGCATGGTGTGACACTGTGAGCTACATATTTCATTTGGAATGCTCTTCAACTGTCGCCTAAGACCAAAGAAAAACACATATTTGAAATGAACCAGGACGTAGACTTGAAGTTACGCTTTCAACTATCTTGAAATGATTCTGATTCAACTTGGAATGGATCGTGGTCTACTTGGAATGAAGCGTGGCTTGCACCTTTGAAAGAACCTTGGCTTACACCGACTTTAACATCTAGGGTTGACAACACTAACGCCACTCAGTTCATTGTACAATCTGTCAGTTTATTCTGGTCCATGTATTCAACATGCTTAAACAATTATTCTCAACTTCTATCACTCGCGACATATTCGAACATTAACCATTCTCGCGAAAAAAAAACTACATCTTCAATTACTACAACCTTCTTCCCTGACTTCTCATGATCGACTGACCACGAGGCTAGCTCGGGCTTACTCCACCGGCCACAAGTATCTCGTGCCGTCACTTGTAGCACGGACTTCCTGCTTGCCACAATGTACTCGTGGAGACCATAAAGCAGGGTCATCACACTCTCCCCCCTTTTTAAACAAAATGACACTTTATGGAACATCAAGTGTCATTTTCATTTAACCAAATATAAATCAATTTAATTGTACAGAAAATTATAGTTCATGATTATCCTCAATTACTGCCCTTTAAAAACTGCCTTTTCCTTTTACTGCCTGCTTCTTCTTAGTACTGATGTAGTGAAATGTATCTTTAAGATGCATCTGTAGTATTGTCTAATATATCTACTCTATCGGGTTTAAAGTCAAATGATCATAGATAGAGCTGATGAGATGACAGCTTTGAGATATTTATTACATAGAAAATTGGATTGAACTAAGAATTACATCACCTTTCACAGGGTTTAAACCCCAATGACTCTTAGCCGATATGATAGTGGTAAATATATATTTAACATAGTGCTTCTAGTTTCCCAAAGCCTCTATAAACACCTTTTACAGGGTTTACCCAACCCCAAGGAATCTACCACAGAAAAAAAAAAATGCATGTAGATATTTTTTCATAGAGCTGTAGAGTTTCCTCCAGTTATGGTTTAACAGGGTAGGTTAATCCAAAGGAATCTCAGACACCTTTCCACCCTTTAGATTCCGACACAGATGAGTTCAACTCATATACTGTGCATGTGCTTTGATGTGTGCACTCTTTCTTTACCATCAGTCTGTCTAAGCATCAGTATAATTATAGCAGTTTATAATTTTGGGTGTCGTGGACCAATTTACCCTGTCCCTGTGCTGTACACCTATGCTTTAAACATTTTAAATTGAATTTTTCGAAGTTATGACTGAAAATAACTATCTGGTGGGCGCCACAACATAAGGGAACTGTACTGAAGGGTCGCAGCATTAGGAAGGTTGGACAGCCACTAATCTATGTTGACATGTTATGATAAAGAATGGATGTGAGAGCTCGGTTTCAACTGGTAAGAAAAATAGAAAAAGAGCAAGGGGAGGGCAAAGAAATAAATTACTTGGATGGTCTGGATGGTGCAGATATTGTAACCTAGCTGTAAACCACAACACCAAGTGCCAACCACCCCTTTGAGGATGAAAATAGATGAAGAAAAAGTAGGAGAAAGAAGAAGAAGGATAAAGAGAAAAGAAGAAGAAGGAGAATGGCTTAGCCATATGTATAACGTGAGCAACAGCACTGGTATCATCCATGATTCTGATGATTGTGTGAGATAGTAAAACATGACCGCCTATGCTTATCAGCAAGGCACAAGATGATAATGATGAGAAAGAAGAGGAGGAGGAAAATACACACAAAAGACATTCATATTATGACAAGACAATCATGTTTCTCTGAGATCACATTATGAGAGGAGAAGTGTCTATTTAACACTGCAACAACTGAAAATATTGAGGGTAGTAGAGTCAGAGATCAACAGAAAGAGAAAATTGTGGATGGTCTTCTTCAGGGTGACATGGAAGATGATTCTATTTTATGAATACATCAATAAAAAGTTGAACGATCATTGTCATTTTTTTTTTCTTTGGTTTACAGCAAGGCTGCAGTATCTTTACATCTGGGCCCAACACATCTGATTGCAACAAACTCCTAAATAGTGGCTATTTTGAAATGAGTGTTAGGGAAATAGTAGGTATGCCCCCCCCCCCCCCCCCACAAAAAATACAAATCATAGCCCTAGAACCCACCCAGGGACAACAGGATCTTACCTGGAGTGTTTCCATTCTTATCTTCTTCATTGGGCAAGCCTCCCCACTTCAACAAAAACTGGATACAGCCTAGCCTTCCATGGTAGGCAGCTGTATGCACTGCAGACCAGCCTAAATTGTCCTTGCAAGACACATCCTGGAAGAGAGTCATTGGATAAAGACACATCCTGGAAGATTGGATAAAGACACATCCTGGAAGATTGGATAAAGACACATCCTGGAAGAGAGTCATTGGATAAAGACACATCCTGGAAGAGAGTCATTGGATAAAGACACATCCTGGAAGAGAGTTATTGGATAAAGACACATCCTGGAAGAGAGTTATTGGATAAAGACACATCCTGGAAGAGAGTCATTGGATAAAGACACATCCTGGAAGAGAGTCATTGGATAAAGACACATCCTGGAAAATTGGATAAAGACACATCCTGGAAGAGAGTTATTGGATAAAGACACATCCTGGAAGAGAGTCATTGGATAAAGACACATCCTGGAAGAGAGTTATTGGATAAAGAAAACTGAGAAATGATTTAATAGATTTTTTTTTTCTTTCTCTTCAGGATTACAACAATTTAAAAAAAAGACAAACAATTTTAATGATATACTTTTTTTTTTATTTGGGAATAGAGAAAATATTTGATTTATATTTTTACTTTTTAATTGAAGATAAATATCATATATATTTAGATTAACATTGGCTACATGGATCTCTGTGTTAATCAGTATCACCCCTTATAGTAGAAGAACCAACACAAAAAAGCAAAATACAAAAATGTGTGTTATATCTTTAACTCTTTGAGTCCCAATGAACGCATCATACGTTCAAAGGCCTTTAACTCTTTGAGTCCCAAGGAACGCATCATACGTTCGAAGGTTCCTACCTAGAAGCCCAATGAACGCATGATGCGCCGATTTTATTACTTTATTTACTACCCCCGGGCCTGTGATGCTAAACCCCAGGGGACTCAAAGAGTTAAAGGACTTTGCAAGCTAACACCTGCATTTATATAGTTGTATTTGGCAATTCTGTGTTCTTCTTCTTCTTAACATACACTAGCTATAAACTCTAGCAGAAAGTTGTGGTTGTTCATCCACTTCTGGACTTTGGACTTGTTCCAGAACTTAATTTGTTGGTGTCAAAACAGATCTGACTTATTTCTGTTGATTTCTCACCCTTCAGGCAGATGCACTCTGACTTCGAAGAAAAAAACATCCTTAACATCTTTTATGACATGCTTGTTGGAAAAAGGGGGGGGGGGGGCAGTGGGTCAATTCTTTTTCCCCAAAACTGGGACCCCACAACCCATGCAGGAATTTCTATGTTTAGCAGTTTGCCATTGCTTTCTAAATGGTAATATGAAAATACAATACTGTTGTCAAAATCCAAGAAAATCGGTCTGCTCCAAAATCACCTACAGCTCTGAAACCTGGTATGTTGGGATTATGAAACTTTACCCACAACCCTCTAAACCACAGATGTCAAGAACATAACAAACCTGACTGAACATAATCTGTACCTCACATCCAGCATTGGCTCAAAATACAGTTTGCTTTAAAAAAAAAAATATTTAAAACACATCAAAAGTATTGACCTCACTGCACCGGGTTTTGGCCTCCCTCTGCAGAATGGCTAGCCACCTGCCAAAATCATCACACAAAGTACAAACTCTGTAACTCTGGTAACGATCCCCAGGGATCTCCGTGTAAAAACTACACTCATGAAATGAACGGTGCAGCTGTAAAACCAACCCAAAACCTTCAAAACATGAGGCAACACAGCTTGATCACTTCGCCATGGAGATCCCCTGTGTGTGTGTGGGGCAGCAGTAGCCACACTTAAAACAGTCATGTCCAATTTACCACAATTATCATCTTCATCATATTTCATGCTGATAAGGATGGGCTGTCATATTTTGCCACCTCACAATCAACACAATCATGGATCAAGTTAGGCTGTCATGTTTTGTCACCTCACACAATCAACACAATCATGGATCAAGTTAGGCTGTCATGTTTTGTCACCTCACACAATCAACACAATCATGGATCAAGTTAGGCTGTCATGTTTTACCACCTCACACAATCAACACAATCATGGATCAAGTTAGGCTGTCAGGTTTTGCCACTCCCCACAATCAACACAATCATGGATCAAGAGATTCAGTCAGTGGTTTTGTCTCATCATTCAGGTATTAAACTCTTTGCTTTCTTTTGCTGTTTTTGTTTTTCCCCATCCATCTTGCCAGTTATCAAGTTTTTGTGTCCATTCCTCATTTACAGTAAAGAACATGACAAAATATTTTTCATGACCTGGGCAATAATTATTTTAACCTCTTTTCTAGACAGGAAGCTGCCATGGTGTAGCGGCTAGATCACCTGTGGATCGGAAGTTCACGTCCGAACAGAGATGGCATTATTTTTTTTCAAATGACCTTAGCTTCCGTGTCGATCCAGCCTTAAATAGGTACCAGTTAAAGTCCTAGTAGGAGGTAAAGATGGCCGGCATGATGTTGACCAAATCATCCATTGAGTCGCGACTAGTCTATAAAATATAGATCAAGGCCTATATGCCACTGTGTGGATTTTTATCATGGTATGGGGCGTCGCAAGTTGGCCCAGCCTAAAATGGGTACCAGGATGGCTGTCCTGGGGAAGTAAAGGCGGCCAGTGTAATGCTGACCACATTACCCACCTAGTGTCGATTGGTCTGTAAAAATATGGGATGCTCTTCCTGTGTGCCTGATGCGCCTAAGGTGATGAAAAGGGATCTTTGCTTTGCTTTACTTACTTTACCTGTATGCCACATACACCTGAAGGCTAGGAAAAGGGTCCTTTATTTACTTTATTTATCTCAATATTTATTACTTCAATGTTAAAACTGACTGACGACACACAGATAAATTAAAGACTCGTGACTTACCACCCCTGATCTGAGAATAGTGCTAAGACAAAATGAATGTCCGTGAGCTGCAGCCAAATGAAGGGGTGTTTGGCCTCGAGCATCTTTTGCTGAAAGATTGATTCCACTGTTTGCAAGGGCCTGTGAAATGAAATACCACGATGATCATTTTACTGAAAGCAAGCTAGGATGGCAGATAGAAACTTCTACAGAAGAAGAGCTTAAAATATTTCTTCTAACTATATGACATTTATATGGTTAAGGTATTTTAGTTTACAAGAGATGATGATGATATTTTTATGAGTTTCCTCTGACATTTAGAACTTGAAAAATGTCAGTATTTAGTTTTTGAATTTTGTTTTATTTCCGATACAATGTTTACATTCAGTGAATCAAACATTTTAAACATACCGTGGAACTTAAGGGAAGAAAAAATCTTAAATGCATATAAAAGAAAATAATGAATCAAACCTCCATGCAATTTTCAAAACCCTTGATGGCTGCTATATGAGCTGGGGTCCAACCATGTGGTGTTGTTACAGTTGGATCGGCATCATGCCACAACAACCAATGCACACACTGAAACAGATAACAGATATTTTACAAAATTCAAACAAATGGCTTTTGCTTAACAAGTAACACATCACATATTGATTTATAAATAATTTAATCGTCCGCTAGTATCCAAAAAGATAACTATAATAAACTTTGATTTTAATACTCTGAAAATGTTACGTCTGTAAATCATCAGCAAGCTTGAAACATTACCTCCATATACTTACAATACAGCACTCTAGTTTACAAAATACATTTGGTAATGGTGGTGGTGATTGGGGGGAGGGGGGGGGGGGGGGTGGTCCCTGTACATAACATGCAAAAAAAATATACAATTACTCATTCTCCTGCAGCTTTATGGAGCAAAACTCCTTAAGTTCTTTATATGTGACTTTAGATTTTTGTCAGTACGTTCATGAAACATGCACGCAGATGATGTCCAGAGGTTTTTAAAGTTGTTATACAAGAATTACACTACCAATTAAAAATAATATTTTAAAATTCCAAGGGGGGGAAAAAAGAAATAATAATGATTTTAAAAATGTACACCTGATATCAATTTTTAATAATATGCAATTATATGTGGTATGAAAGCTCACAAACCTCCAAAGCGCCAACATTACAGGCCGTATGGAGAGGAGTAAATTTATGTTTAGGGTCTACCTCGTTGATGCTGACACCATTTTTTACCATCAATTCAAGCTGCACAACATCAGAATTTCTCACCGCATCATGAAGGGAGCAATATTTTGCTCCATTCGAAGATGCCCCTGAAATACAATCAATAAATTAATAAATCTGGTTAAAAAAAGGTACAGAAATAACACTGATAAGGACTGTGCCTTTCATGTTATTTACCACACACTGAACAGTGATTACTGAAACTAGCTGAGGCTGTGAAAATAAAAATGAACAATTGTGCATTGTGAAAAACACAAAACAGCATGTGGTAAATTTAAAATTGCAGTGGATATCTTGAACTTCCGGCGGTAAGATGTATATATGGAGAGATGTATATGGAGAGGACAATGTGAAAGAAATGTGGAAATCATTCATTTTTGCATGTTTCATTATGTGTTGAACTAACTGTAGAAATGATTCATGTTTGTGTGTTTCATTATGTTTTGAAGTAATTGTAGAAATGCACATGACAAAATACAACATCATGAAGGCAGCCATGAAAGTAAAAAGGCAACTATTTAGAGGTTTGCTGCAATCTTGTATTTTTGGCCAAAAGGGTGTAGATATCACAGCCTTGCTGTAAACTACATCACACCAACAGCCCTTTTAATGAAAAATGCAGAAGAAAAAGAAGGGTGAGGTATAATGTGTTCAGGAAATTGTATCCTTTCAGTATATAATTCACAAGCACATCACAAGGCTCGTGGTAGTGAATTGGTTTACAAATATTTAAAATAAAACCTATAATAAATGGGAAAGGAAGAGTAAGTTGTGAATTTTGTTATCTTCACGGCACTTCAGAAATGTCCATAGGTGCTCAGACTCAGACTTCTTGTAGTCTCTGTGTGTCTTCTGTGCCTGCCTGTGCTGATCTTGACTACCAGTTCTCGCATTCTGAGCAGCAAAGGAATCATTCATTATTCAGTATTCTTTTACTGGTGCATCAGAACTGGAACTCTGCGCTTGCTGCTGAAGATGAGGTTGGAGTGCTTATGGGAATGCCGAGAGTGTTGTGACATTGGTTCCTAACTCAATATATTTGATGTATTTTAGATGTAAATCTGGTCATAAAGCTTTAAAAAAAATAAAGAGGAGGTGACAGGGTGGTTTTAGCTTCAAGAATGTATGGTTGTAATGTATGGTTGTAATGTTCAATAAACAAGATTAGAGAAGTGAGATGTATATTTTAGGCATGCAATTAGAAAAAAATCGCTTAGATTTAGGGGCAATTGATAAAGTGGGCGGCCAAGAAACAGAATAACTGCCTAAATAAATAGACAGCTGTCAAGTGAGACCTCTAACACCGTTGGAGAGATACCATGAAGTCCACTCGAGACCCAGTTTGACACAAGTCTTGGACATGCCGCCACTAATAGCTTTGCGCTGACAGATCAATAGTTCAAACTGTATTTTGATTTCGCTACTTATGATGCCCCTCCCTCAAACCCTTACGGTGCCGCTTTTCTGTATCATAAGTAACTACGACTCTGAGTCCATTGCACCTGACCGTAAAATGTGGAATGAGCTGATCAGATAGTCAAACTTGAAACACAGAACAGTGAACACTAGTAATAAGTAACTCGCCAACGAAACGATGATGAAGTAAAGTATTCAACAATGCTACTACTACTAAGCAATCTACAACATTTAAATCAAAAATGTTAATTGAAACACACAAATATACCTGGCATGATTGACTAGTCAACCTTGGTTATCCGGTGGCAGCAACTCAAAATTTCCTCAAATATCCCAGTTATTGTTTACCTTGTCGACACCTCGCTACCCAGTAGAACCGGACAAAATGTAGTCCCGCAGTGACGATTTTTTTTTTTTTTTCGCTTTTTAAAAATTAAATTTACAAAATTAGTTTATTACACAGAAATCAAAGCCCTTTGGGGACAAGCAACGGAATCAGTAGAAAAACAAGATTATTATGGCTTGAAGAGAATGAGGCACCTAGGTGTAACCAGAGCGGGTCTTGCCGGCTGACCACACTCAGGCAAGACGGGCCTATAACCCGACTGTGACCAGTACCGCGCTGGATGCTGAAGATGAGGACGGAGCACGCATGGGAATGCCCTGAGTGCTGTGATGTCAATTTTTGAATCAAAACTCAACACACACACATTAACTGCATGTGCCGTTAAAACTGTGCAAATAATAAAATATAATGTAAATTCGGTATTGATAAAATTATCGTATCCCGTATTATATGAATAATTTCTTTCTTTGTGTTTCCTTGGCAATCACCGACAATCGCGAATAGTTCACTTGACGTCCTTTTTTAGGATGAAAATTTTCGTTATTTGAAGCCCTACTCTGGCTCTTACTAGGGGCCGCAGTATAGTCCGGCCACGACCGGCTCCAGCTGACGGGCCGTGCTGCTGACGTCACCGGGTCGGGCTAACGATGCGTTAACGCAGCATTTCTCAAACTAGGTGCTGAGGCAGCCTGGGGTGTCCTGAGCGTATGCCAGGGCTGCCGCGTAATAAAGAAAAGTCGGCTAAAAATGTGAAATAATGAAGAAGGCATGTAGATACTTAAAGATAAAATTTAAGTTGTCTTTCCTTGCCACTGTCGAAAATAGTTTATATCTTGTTTAAGAACCGCTGCGTTACCGCATCGTTAGCCTGACGCGGTGACGTCAGCAGCACGGCCCGTCAGCTGGAACCGGTCATGATTTGTCTTGCGTTGGTTTCGACAATGGCACCGATAGCTGATAGTTCAGGGGCAATGGCAAACTATTGAACGTAAAATTTGCCTAGAGAAGCCATAAAAGTCAAATAATGCTAAAGCTGGTTCTGGAACGTCCTGTAAAGATTACGCAAATAACATATTGTGCAAGACATATATTTTTTTAACTGACTAATCGGAATTAGGTGGACGTTATGGATAGCCACCACCTGCTGCTTTTACTTTCCAGGACTTTACCTCGATACCCATTTTAGACAGTTTCTTCTTCTTTGCGTTCACCGTCTGTAATCTCCGGCGGAAAGTTCAAGTTGTTCGTCCACCTCTAGAACTTAGTCTTGTTCCATAACCTGAATGCCGCTTCCGCATCCTTTTTACAGAACTGGCTTACTCGTATGCAGACTATTGGTTCCTTGCCTCTCGGGCAGATGCACTTTGACTTCGAAGAAGCCCACAGTGGACTCTTACGACATGCTTTTGTTTTATCATAGTCGACGTCATTGCACATAATACACTCCCATGTTGCCGCTGCCAACATCCAGCCCGCCAGTTTTACCACGTCAACATTCAGTCCGCCAGTGTCAGCATTCATTTTGCCACTCACAACGCTGAGTTAGTTACTCACAGTATTTAGTTAGTCACTCCCAATATTCATTTAGCTACTCACAGCGTTTAACCATCCACTCCTAATATTCAGTCCGCCAGTGTCAGCATTCATTTTGCCACTCACAACGCTGAGTTAGCCACTCACAGTATTCAGTTAGTCACTCCCAATATTCAGTTTGCTACTCCTAACATTCAGTAAGTCGCTCCCAGTGTTCAGTTAGCCGCTCCCAACGTTCAGTTAGCCGCTCCCAATGTTCACTTAGCCACTCCCAATGTTCAGTTAGCCACTCCCAACGTTCAGTTAGCCGCTTCCAGTTTTCAGTTAGGCACTCCCAATGTTCAGTTAGCCGCTCCCAATGTTCAGTTAGCCGCTCCTTGTGTTCAGTTAGCCGCTCCCATCATTCAGCTCGCCAGTGTCAACATTCAGTTAGCCACGCCCAGTATTCAGTTATTCGAGCCCAATATCCAGTTTTGCCACTCCCGGCATTCAGTCACCGTGTGTCAACATCCAGTTAATCTGTTCCAGTACTCATCTAATCTGTCCTACTATTGATTGAGCCGGTCCCAGTATTCAAGAGCCAGTAGTAACAGAATTCACTGGGTAATATTGTTAACATTCTACCCCACCGCAAACTTTATAACATTGCAACAAGTATGAAGGAATCCACGCCCAGAATTTATTCCCTTCACTTATTTATGTTAACAATTTTCGGAACATTTGTTTGGTTGGCTATCGTTGCCGGTTTTTCCCATCCGGGATGCCTGCCGAAAATGTGATAACCTCTGAAAGTGTGATAATCCCTGAGAAATTGATAATCCCTGAGAAATTTAGCTTCTCTTCATGGGTGACAAAACAACGTGACAAAGCTCCAGTAAAGGTTAATATAACCTTTTCATGCGAACGCGCTTTGTAATGCCGGGTTGCTGGGTTTGATCCCAGCTGCGGACAATTTGTTTTGCGTTGGTTTCGACAATGGTACCGAGAGCTGACAGTTCAAAAGCAATGACAAACTATTGAACGTAAAATTTGCCTAGAAAAACCACAACAGTCAAAAAATGTTGGTTCTGCAACGTCCTGTAAAGGATACGGAAATAACATATTATGCAAGACATATATTTTTTACTGACTAATCGGAATTAGATGGTCGTTATGGATAACCACCACCTGCTGCCTTTACTTTCCAGGACTTTACCTCGATACCAATTTTAGACCGTTTCTTCTTCTTAGTGTTTACCGTCTGGATTCTCCGGCGGAAACTTCAAGTTGTTCGTCCACCTTTAGACTTTAGTCTTGTTCCAGAACCTGAATGCCGCTTGCGCATCCTTTTTACAGAACTGTCTTACCCGTATGCAGACTATTGGTTCCTTGCCTCTCAGGCAGATGCACTCTGACTTTGAAGAAGCCCACAGTTAGTGGACTCTTACGACATGCTTGTGTGTTATCATAGTCGACGTCATTGCACATAATACACTCCCATGTTGCCGCTGTCAACATCCAGTCCGCCAGTTTGAACACGTCAACATTCAGTCAGCCACCCTTAACATTCAGTCCGCCAGTGTCAGCATTCATTTTGCCACTCCCAACGCTGAGTTAGCACTCACAGTATTTAGTTAGTCACTCCCAATGTTCAGTTAGCCGCTCCCAATGTTCAGTCAGCCGCACCCAACACTGAGTCTGCCAGGGTCAGCATTTAGTTAACAACGCCCAGTATCCAATTAGTCACGCCCAATATTTAGTTTGCCACTCCCAACATTCAGTAAGTCGCTTCAAGTGTTCAGTTAGCCGCTCCCAACGTTCAGTTAGCCACACCCAACGTTCAGTTAGCCGCTCCCAATGTTCAGTTAGCCGTTCCCAATGTTCACTTAGCCGCTCCCAATGTTCACTTAACCGCTCCCAATGTTGGGTTAGCCACTCCCAACGTTCAGTTAGCCGCTCCCAATGTTCACTTAACCGCTCCCAATGTTGGGTTAGCCACTCCCAACGTTCAGTAAGCCGCTCCCAATGTTCAGTTAGCCGCTCCCAATGTTCAGTTAGCCACGCCCAGTATTCAGTTAGTCCCGCCCAATATTCCGTTTGCCACTCCCAGCATTCAGTTTGCCACTTCCGGCACTCAGTTACCGAGTGTCAACATCCAGTTAACCTGTTCCAATCCTCATCTAGTCTGTCCTACTATTGATTGAGCCGGTCCCAGTATTCACTAGCCAGTAGTAAAAGAATTCACTGGGCGATATTGTTAACATTCTACCCCACCGCAAACTTTATAACATTGCAACAAGTATGAAGAAATCCTCGCCCAGAATTTATTCCCTTGACTTATTCATGTTAAAAGTTTTCAGAACATTTGCTGGGTTGGCTATCGTTGCTGGTTTTTCCCACACAGGATGCCAGCCGAAAATTTGATAACCCCTGAGAATTTGATAATCCCTGAGAAATTTAGCTTCTCTTCATGGGTGACAAAACAACGTGTCAAAGCTCAGACATTCCGTTCAACATGTAAGGAGATTAGAACTGGGGCACCCGTAACGATCATGCTAGCCTGTGTGGGTACAGTTGGTAAACTGAGCTCTCTGAACATAGTTTTAATTTGTTAACTCATTTATCTTAATCTTCTTCTTTCCGTTCCCCCTGCCAGTTGTTTTTGGATAAGAAGACCACATACATCTATGAAGTTTGTGGTGCGACACATCTCTTCCACCATTCCACGTAATTGGTTTATATTGGAATGCTAACCGGGCAAACCTGAGATCGCTCTATTGCATGTAGAGAGCATATATGTAACACACAGGTTCCACAGTTGTAAAGATTAATGTACCCTTTTCACGCGAACACGCTTCGCAATGCCGGGTTTGATCCCAACTGCGGACAATTTGTCCACGACCGGCTCCAGCTGACGGGCCGGGTTGGGCAAACGATGCGTTAACGCAGCATTTCTCAAACTGGGTGCTGAGGCAGCCTGGGGTGTCCTGAGCGTATGCCAGGGCTGCCGCGTAATAAAGAAAGGTCGGCTAAAAATGTGAAATAATGAAGAAGGCATGTAGATACTTAAAGATAAAATGTAAGTTGTCTTTCCTTGCCACTGTCGAAAATAGTTTATATCTTGTTTGAGAACCGCTGCGTTACCGCATCGTTAGCCTGACGCGGTGACGTCAGCAGCACGGCCCGTCAGCTGGAGCCGGTCATGGTCCGGCCGTAAATATGGCCTAATGGCTGAACGAGATTTTTGTGACCTCTCCACGGTGATCCTCATCCACACTGTGTCATCGGGTGTTTATCGCTTGTGTGATGTCCTAGTGGGCTAGAAAGTTAGTCAAAAAAATACTGAAATATGCAAATGGATCTGTTTCTTTAATTCTTTTTATCACCAGTGTAACAAGACCCTCACGGGAAGCAAAG